CTATCTGCTCTAGCTCTGTAGTCACTGGCAGATCAGATGTTTAATCCCAGGTTTGTAGGGCTTTGAAATTCATACTCTTCATTAGGATAGATCTAAGTCTTCTGGGGTCTGAAATTTATACATTTTGTGGGACCCTCTTTGAGTAAGAGAATAAAAATGATAATTTACAAGGTTAGGTACAAATTGAGTACTTAGAATGGGAGAAGAAATCAGAACAAATTACTCAAAGCTTGGAGATTCAGGTCTCTTTTTTCTGAGATCTCTAAGCCCCTTGCCAGAAATGCTCATATAGAGATGCTTCCTAATTGCAGCCTGGTTTCTTCCCATTAATCTAGAATATTCTATAGCTCCTAACAAGTTCTAGTACCCAAGGAGACAGTGCACACGATGGGCCTTGAAACTTGATTAGCTTCCCAGGAAATGTGCCACTGCTTCTCACTATATCCTCACTACTCGCAGTGGTTCATGGACTAATGGTGTTGCCATCTCTGGGAGCATGTTAAAATGCAGAATCTTGGGCCCAATCCACACCTGCTGAAGAAAACCCTGAATTTTAGCAAGATTCTGGGTAATTTCTATGCACTTTAGTGTTTGAGAAACACCACAATATACCACATACTGAGCGGCAGTGCTTCCTCTATGAGTTGTTTTTTCTTGGCCAGAGCAAGTAGGTAATAGACCTTAGCCCACAGCTAGTAACAATCTTGAGAAGAAATAGTAAGAGCATGCCAAACTGCTTTAAATTAATACAGGTCTCCAGGGTCAGACATATTACATCCTTGGGATACAGAAAAAATTTATAGCTGTGATTAGAGAAGCGCCGCCAATAATCTGTGAAGAATCACAGAGAATGAGAGAAGTGCCATTTTTTTCAAAGAAAGAGAAAGAAGAATTTTGAAAATTACTGAGTAGTGACTCTGACAGCAATTGCCTACAAAATTCTGGTCGGAATTATTAAACAGGTAACTTGTCAGTCCTTAGAAATAGAAATGGTGATCACCAGGAATCATGCCAAATTAACTTCATTTGTTTTTCTTATAATGTGTTTCTAAGACTGGGAGGCCCAGAGTAAACTATAGGTATGACAGTCTCGATTTTAGATAGGTATTTACAAATATCCTAATGATATCCTTACAGATCATGTGCAGAAATGTGGTACAAATAATAGCACAGCCAAATGAAGTTCATGGTTGGTTGAATGATTATCTCCTCTAAGTTGAATCATAAATAATCTGAGGAAAGGAATTGATAGTGGGTCCCTGTACCAATCAGGGTTCAGTTATAGAGGTGGAACTCCTAGGAATGATATGAAACAAGGTGTTGATTATGGGGACTTGACCTTAGAGAATTGTGGGAACTGGCTAAAGTGTTTATGTAAGGCTGCTGCTTTTGCTGGGCCTGAAGTCAGCATGGCAGGAAGTGAGGAAGAAAAGATGGATGTGACATGGAGGAGAGTAAGGAATGTTTGAGGAAGATGATCTGGATCCTGCCTCAGCCTCCAAGTTTCCTATTCCAGTGATGCAGGTATCTGATATCTGACAGGAGAAGCTGAGGCCCCAACATGCACATGGCTTGGGAGTTGGAGAAGCTGAAGGAGCTGTGCCCCCGACAGCTGCTGCATGCCAGTGAGATCAGCCAGCAGATTCACGACCCATCTGTAGGAACTGCAAGAGCGCCTGGCCCAGCGCCAGCCTTCCGAGCTTAACTATGGCTGCTGCTTGACTTTTGCCTTCCAGCCTCACCTAAATTTCCCTGGTGGCCAATTTTAGCTCAGAATCATGAAAGAAAGGAATTCTAGGAAATCTGGTTCCTGCTTAGCTGAGTTGACACAGTTCAAAGTTAATAGAACTACAAAGCTCTGTTCTTTTGCCCTGTTGATTGTTTTTCATCAGATCTGTGAATGGTAACATATGGTGAATGGCAGGATTCAAAGGAAAATTTTAATAAACTGATTTTGCATCCTTTAAATATCACATTAAATGTGAGAGGCTCTTCTTTACCACTGTCAGTGAACTAGCCTCTTAGCCTCCTATATCCTCATATATTTTCAGACTTTGCCCTGTTTTTGTATATTACTTATTAGGATCTGCTGTATGTAGTTATTGATTTATTTATGTTTTATCACCTCCACCAGAATGCAAGCTCCATGGGAGCAAAGACATTGCCTGTTTTGCTCAATGTTGAATCCCTAGCACCTAGAATAGAATGGCACATACAAGGCACTCAATAAACATTTGTCAAATGAATATATAATGAAATTTATTAATAAATGTAACATCATCATATTGAGAGATAAAAAACCAACTGCCTAAGTAGAGAGTTGAAGATATTGAAGATATAAATTAAGAATAATTCATGCATGAAAATAAGCTGGGGTTTTAGTTGATAGCAAGCACAAATTAAATTAGAAAATTAATACATATTTTACTTATATTGGTAGAAATAAAAAAGGTAATATTCACATCGCACTCTATATGGAAGGATAAAAGTTATCATATTTTTAAAAGACAAAGAGCCATCGTATCAACAGGCTAAAGAAGAAAAATTATATGATCATATTGATTGATGCAGAAAAAGCATTTGACAAAATTCAATACCCACTTATGATAAAAACTCTCACCAAACTATGAATAGAGGGACACTCCCTCAACTTTGTAAAGAACATCTACAAAAACCCTACAGTTAACATCTTATTTAATGATGAGATATTGGACGCTTTCCTCCTGAGATCTGAAACAAGGCAAGGATGTCTACTCTTTCCAGTCCTCTTCAACTTCAGAGTGGAAGAATAGTTAATGCATTAAGACAATAACAAGGAAAGGAAAGGTAGACAGATTAGGAAGGATTTGCTTGCAGATGACAAGGTTGTCTGTGTAGAAATCTCAAAGAATTAACAAAAAAATCCCAGAACATACAACGTAGTATAGCATGTTAACAGGACACGGGGCTAATATACAATAGTCAGTTGATTTCTTATATTCCAGAAATTAACTATTTGCATTTGAAATTTTAAAAAGTATTAATTACAATATTGAGCACCAAAAAGTGAAATACTTAAATATAAATCTAACAAAATATGTACAGGATCTATATGTGGAAAACTACAAACTCTGATTAAATAAATCAAAGAATATCTAAACAAATACAGAGATATTGTATGTTCATGGATTGGAAGACTCAATATTGTTAAGATGCCAGCTCTTCCCTATTTGATCTCTATATTCAACGCAATCCCAACCAAAATCTCAGAAGTCTGTTTTGTGGATACTGACTAATGAAAGTTTATATGGCAAGACAGGACATCTACAATAGCCATGCAATACTGAAGAAGAACAAAGTTGATGCACTCACACCAACTGATTTCAAGATTTATTACAAAACAACAGTAATCAACAGTTCATAGTATTGATGAAAGAATAGACCATAGATTAATGATATAGAGTATAGCACCCAGAAATCGACTGACACAAATCAATGGCAATTCAATGGAGGAAGAATAGTCTTTAACAAATGGTTGCTGGAACAATGGGACATCCATGTACAAGAAAATGAATCTAAACACAGAGCTTACACCTTTCACAAAAATTAAATCGAAGTGGATAATAGAGTTAAATTTCAAAAATAAAACTACAAAGTTTCTGGAAGGAAACCTAGGAGAATACCTGGGTGACCTTGGGTTTGGTGGTGACTTTTTAGATACAACAGCAAAAGCATGATCCGTAAAAGAAAAAACATGATTGGACTTATTAAAATTAAAAACTTCTGCTCTGCCAGCCACAGATGGGTAGAAAATATTTCCAAAACACATATCTGATAAAGGACTTCTATCTAAAATATGTATAAAGAACTTTAAAATTTAAACAATCTGATTTTTTTCTTAAAATTATTTTATTGAAGTCACACAGGTTTATAACATTGTGTAAATTTCAGGTGTATATTGTTATATTTCAGCTTCTGTAAAGACTGCGTTGTGTTTACCACCAAAAGTCTAGTTTCCATCTGTCACCATACATGTGTGCCCCTTTACCCTTTTTGCCCTCCCCTTGCCCGCTTTCCCTCTGGTAACCACCAATCTGTTCTCCTTATCTATATGCTTATTTGCTTGTTTATCTTCCACATGAGTGAAATCATATGGTATTTGTCTTTCTCTGTCTGACTTATTTTACTTAGCATAATACTTTCAAGGTCCATCCATGTTGTTCCAAATGGCAAGATTTTGTCTATTTTAATGGCTGAGTAGTATTCCGTTGTATCTCTATACCACATCTTCTTTATCCATTCATATGTTGATAGGCACTTAATTTGCTTCCAAATCTTGGCTATTGTGAATAATGCTGAGTTGAACATAAGGGTGCATGTATCTTTTGAATTAGTGTTTTCATCTTCTTTGGATAAATACCTAGAAGTGGAGTAGCTGGATCATGTGGTATTTCTGATTTTAATTTTTTGAGAAAACTCCATACTGTTTTCCAGAGTGGTTGCACCAATTTGCATTCCCACCAGCAGTGTATGAGGGTTCGTTTTTCTCCACATCCTCTCCAACATTTGTTATTTCTTGTCTTTTTGATAATAGCCATTCTGATGGTGTGAAGTGATATATCATTGTAATTTTGATTTGTATTTCCCTAATAATGAGTGATGTCGAACATTTTTTCATGTGCCTGTTGACCATCATGCAAAAGAATAGAAAGTAGACCATACACAAAAATTAACTCAAAATGAGTTAAAGACTTGAAGGTAAGACCTGAAACCATACAACTCCTAGAGAAAAACATAGGCAGTATGCTCTTGACATCAGTCTTAGCAGTATCTTTTTGAATACCATGTCTCCTCAGACTGTTTTAGGCAAATAAAAATTGCAAAGATGGGGAGAGAGTTCCCATATACCCTGCACACCCAATTTCCCCTATTATTAATATCTTACATTCGTATGGGACATTTGTCACAATTAAAACAGTTTTAAAATAAAGAGTTAATTTTAAAAAATACAAAGTGCACAAGAGAAAAATCAATGAGTGGCTCTGACAACGGGGATATAGATGGAATAGTTGATTAAAAAAATAGAGAATATTTGTGAAGTACTTATAGTTGCATAAATGCTTATGAAGTAGTTGTAATTGGACTTATAATTTCTGCCTTCAAACATTTTAGATATTGAATGTAAAGACGTCATGCTCAGTGTAGTTTCCAGTGGCTGAATAAGAACAAGTTGATCAAAGTTAGATTTCAACTCAGATTGAAAGAAGAATATTATGATTATTAGAGCTGTCCGAATATGACTAATCTGCCTTTGGAGGGAGACAGAGCGCTTCCTCTTACTGATCTTCAAGCGGAGGCTGAAGGAGTGTCATAGTGAAGAGCAGCTGGACGAGAAGGAGCCCGGAGGTGTCTTCCTCTCGGATGCAGTGAGTGCATGTGATTTGACTCCACTGTGATGGCGTTGGTTCAGGGGGCTCCAGGCAGGCCTCAGAAACTAGTTATTTTCTTATGACGTCCAGATGGCAAGTTTTTCTCTGATCATCTTAGAATTACACACTCTGGATAGAAAGAAAGAAAATAATTATTGAGCACTGTGAGGAATGGGTTTAAGAAAAACCTCTGAGATAATATTTATATGCATGCACTCTTCTTTTCTCTTAAAAAGTTAAAGAAAACAAAATGAAGACATAAAACAAAACCCCACAGTGATTTTATATTGAATATTATGATCTCAGTTTCAAATACTATCTGGTATAGTGATGCTTTAGGCCAACGCCAATGAATAGGAATAACTTTCAGAGGGTGGGCATCCGCTACTGTTACCCATAAGAACAGATGGCTCTCACCCTCTGGAAATCCAGATCAATTTCATTCTCTTCTGGGGAAACAGCACCAGCAGGAGTTTTGGTCATGGCCCTTCTGCTACTACTGGCAAAAGAGTATTTTCTTGCTTACATTATTCTATTCTCATGCATTTCCTCATCACACATCTCTACTTTGTGACTAATGCTCTAAAAATTATAGAACTTCAGGAATACAGAAACGAAAATGAAATTGCAGTGTCTTCTATCATGTCTGCTCTTTAACAAGTGCATACACCAAAGCTCAGGCTGTTTTCAAATTTTAGGCCTTCCACTAAAAAATAGGTTAGCCAGGAAATCTCAGATCAAGAAATATCTCAATGTATCTAATATAAAGTGAATGATAAGTGCAGATGTCCATTCATGTGCATGCATGGGTGTGTAGCTCATGTGATCTTTTAATAATAAACACTGTGTATTCAATTAGAGAGTTCTGCCACCTTGAAATGTAAGTACATGGTAAGTAGATAATCTGTCATTTGTAGGCTCTGTATTCCTTAGCAATGGTTTGCATGGAATAGTAAATGTAAATAAGGTAATTTTTTAGTAGGGGATCGTGACCTTTGGATTTTTGTCTACTCTCGTACCACACTAGTCTTCTGATTTCTTTGCTGATACTAATTTTAGTCAAATTAGTGCTATGGTGCGTGGCAAAGTGCAAGAGACAGCACAGACTGGTTTTTTGTTGAGACTTTGCAGGCATAACAGCCTAATCTCTCTGGCCCATCTCTTTCTCATGTCTAGTCTGGGAGGAGGCCTTTAATTTTTACCCTCTAGCATCTAAGAGTATCCATTTCCTGGATTCAGACCCTAAGAGCAATTATACTGCTAGAATAGGTCCTTAAAGCATCAGCTTTCATAGTGTAAATTTTCTTTCATGCTTCATACACACTCTTCTCAGACCCCTTTGGATAGCCACTTTCATTACTTGTGTACATGTAGTTCTTACATAGACTTTTAGCTCCTTTACTCTCAGGGGCCATGTGTGTTCATTTGTTCATCCCTTCCTACTCCCCGATGGCGTTTTGTATTCACTTTTGCCCCTCCCTGCTATCATCCATGCTGCACCTTCAATCCTTTCCCTCTTCATCCATCTACTATCCACACATTATCTAAGGGTCACCTGAAATGTCATGGCTCTGAGAAACAGATTGTTCAGTTGGAATTAATCACATTTTTCATTGTATTCCCACTCCTTTTGCTTTGGTCTCTTTTATAGCTCCTTCCTTCTGCTATGAATTTTATTTTTTTATGTCTCACACCCACCCCAGAGATGTACACATGCACATACTCTGTTGTAAGTTCCTTAAGGACAGCCATCCTGTTTATCCTGACACAAGGACTAGTCTGCTTTACACATTGCAAATGACTGACATAAATGCAAGTTGAATGACACATATCAGGGTCTTGTTAAGATAGTTTCAGAGCCATTTAGTCCCTGATGGCTCACAAATTTATATCCCCAGCCTGGACCTCCCCTTTACCTCTCTTATACTCATATATCCGATTATCTACTTATCACCAGTTGGCTTTCTAATTAGAATCTCAAACTTAACATGGCCAGAAAACTCTTGATTTTTTTCCTCACTAAGCCCTCCTTATCTCAGTAAAAGTGAGTACCATTTATAGCACTGCTCAGGCCAAACCTGAGAGTAAGCCTTGATTTCCCTTTTTCTCATATTCCATATCAAATTCACTAGTAGATCTTATCAGTTAATTACCAAAGTATATCCTGAGTCTTATGCATTTTCCCCATCTCCATATCCATAGCCCTGGACCAAGCTGCCATCACCTCTCTTATGGATTAGTGCCACCATCTTGCTACCTGAACTACAGCCACAACCTCCTAATCAGTCTCCTGGCCTCCACTATTGCTTTCCTAAAATTGGTTCACTACATGGTTGCCAGAGAAAACTCTCTATGGCATACTTCAGACCATAGCATTCCTATATTAAAGCTCTCCAGTGGCTTTTACTTAGAATTAAATTTAAATTTCTAACCATATCATCCAAAGACCCACACAAGCTAACCCCTGAGTAACCTCTGACTTTCCTTCTTTCTTTCTCTCCTTTGTTCACATGCTGCAGTGACATTGACCCACTTCCTGTCCTTCAAACATGGCAAGCCAGATTGTTGCTGTGTAGGAATTTTGTTTTTGCTGTAATTTCAGCTCAGAGAATCACATGACCATCTCCTTCTCCAAGTCCTCAAAGAGAACTTCCCTGACCACCTTGGCTAATGAGTACCTCACTTGCCCTCTTCTATGATTTTATCTTCTTTCTAGCCCTTACCAGTTGCAGGATGCATTTGCTCCCCAACTTCCAACAAGAATCTTATCTCTAGCATTTAAAATACTGCCTGCTTTAACATGTATTTATACTGACTGATAGACTCATCACGTCTTATTGGCAGCCCATCTTGCTTCTCTAGGCAGTCAGTTCCTTTTTCCGTGGTTAAGGATTTTTACCCTGCCTTGTAGCTATCTATGCACATCACACTGTTTCTTATGCTTGACTGTGAGCCCCTTAGAAGTAGACCCTATGCTTCTCTCACCACTGCTTCTCAGAGAACTTGGCATAGAGTAGTCCTGATAGAAGAGCACGTTTCCCCTTTAATTCTGTAATCACTCTTTCCTCCCTCATTCTTTTTCTAATGGAATTGCTTGTTAGTTATAGGAAACTTAAATTCCTATTACAGCCTCTTAAAACTGAGATTGGGGAATTGATGAGGCCTATAATTGGTAAAAGAAACTCTGACCTAAGGTACTTGCCTAATGAAAGAATGTGGTAGGAGGGCAGTGGGAATAGTTTCACTTAATAGAGGAGATGAAGATTTGATGCGCATGGTACCAGTATATTAGGCAGGGAAACTAATGCTATTAATTCATTGAAAAAATGATCTGTCAGAAAACTTTATCCACTCTACAAGCTGAGAGACTGGCTTATGTCTTCTCACAAATTACAGCCCTTTTACTTATGTTAACATGATTAAATAAGGATTTATCTTTATTATAAAATTTTACATTATATAACAATATTCTAAAGTGAACGTTGGTATTTTAGCTGAGTTGCTGGCTTTACTCCCAACAAAAGGGATGCTTCACATTCCTTGGCAAACTCTCATGACCAAAAAATGATCTGATTTTATAAAAACAAATAGTTTATCAGTATTCTGCAAGCATGACTCAGTCTGTTTTAAAGATTTTATTTTTTCCTTTTTCTCCCCAAAGACCCCCGGTACATAGTTGTATATTCTTCGTTGTGGGTCCTTCTAGTTGTGGCATGTGGGACGCTGCCTCGGCATGGTTTGATGAGCAGTGCCATGTCCACGCCCAGGATTCGAACCAAAGAAACACTGGACCGCCTGCAGCAGAGCACGCTAACTCAACCACTCAGCCACAGGGCCAGCCCCGACTCAGTCTGTTTTAAATTTTTCCAGTATGGTTTTCTCAAACCACACACTGTACCAGATTTTGAAAGTTGAGCCCAAAGAGCTAAAATAATGAAGTTGGCCTTTGATTATTTCCCATTACCTGTGCACCCTTCCTCAACACAAGTCCACCTTCTCTCCAGACAGGGGCTGGACCACTTCATGATTTCTGACCTCAAAGAAAAATTAGTCTCTTTCCATCCTGTCCTCCTCTTCTTCACTTCAAATGGCCCCACTCCTCTGCCCCCACATCAAAGTTACCATCCTCTTAGTGCCTTTTTTCCAACTAGATTAATGAAGAAAAATGTAGGTTTGTCAATGAGTAATGACACCTTAGTGTGTGAATCCAAAGGTATTTGTGCTTTTAAATTAAAAATTCCTGGAGAGAACAGTATCTTTAGAGTAATAAATCATCATGGTGGAATTTCAGGCACAACATTAATCCACATCATATTCTAGAACACCCATCATGCACCTTTTGTCTACTCTAATGAGGATATAGTAAATTAGTGGAGTTAAAAAATGGTTGTGTAGCTTGTTATAGTTTACTAAAATGTAAGTTTTACTTATTAAGGTCTACTTTCAGTTTGGGACCCAGAAAAGTACTTTAAAGTGCCCTGCAGAGAATCATGGGAAGCTCTCTGTGCCTTTCTCACCTCAGTGTGGTCCCTCTGGCTGAGTTTCCAATGGAAACAAGCATAGCTGCTGTAGGCAGCATGAGCTTGGTAGATCCCTGCGAGTCAACATGTCCAAAATGAATTCATTATTTTTTCTTCCCTTCTCTGAGACATAGTTTCTTCTTTATTTCCTGTCTTGGTTGAAAATATTACTAAACAACCAGTTGCTTAAGCCAGAAACTGGTAAGTCATCTGGGAAATATTATTCTTCCTCAACTTGCATATATATCCAGCCTCCCAAACTTGTAAATTCTACCTCTTATCCTCACTGCCAGCCTTCTAGATTAGTTTTGGCTTTCACCATATGTACCTCAGGCTACCACAATAGCCTCCCATCTGATTCCTTCTGCATCCAGTGTTGTTCCCTGCCAATCCATCCTCTATACTTCTAACGAGTTCCTAAAACGTGAATCCTTCCGTTATTTCCCATTGCCTGAAGACTTAATTCCAAACTAAGGCAAATGCTACCCTTTATCCTTCATGACCATGCTTTGCCTCTTCATGATACAGCTTTTTTTCCTGATATTCACCCATGGGACTCTGTTCCAGCTCCCTTGAGTCCATGTTCTTTCTTTCCCCTGTGACATGCTT